CATCATCATCATCATCATCATCATTGCCTCTGTACAACAAGCAAGCATTATAAGTCTCCAATCAAACAAAACTTGCCTAAATGATGCTGTTAGCACCCAGGGAGTAGCTGTTTAGCATCTGTAGGGAGTACATACCAAGCAAAGTAACTCAGTATGCGTAACACATGATATGTGAACAGAGGTGTAAGAGCTGCTACAGAAAGAGTGGCCAGCACATCACTATGATACTAGACTAATACAAATGTAAAGATACAGATAGCATGGCCATGACTGACTGTCTGCTAACAGCCAAGGAAACATTTCAGTAAATCAGGCTCGGTAGAGTAAAACTTTAAAAAGTTCAGTGCTTTCACACACTAGACTCACATAGAAAAAATCATTCTCTGTGTTAAAGGGTAACAGAAAGGAAACCATACTGGTTGAAGGCACTGTGAGAAGAAAGAGCCATGCTAAGCAATTCTTATAAGGCTGTCTTATAGCAGGAAGAACTGAGTTCCTACAGTGCTCATATTACAAGGACATTGCACAGGGGTCAAGCTTACAATGAGACTGTTAGAAGCATCACTCACTTCAGCATCTCTTAAGTAGAGATGTATATCTTCTGCATACTCTACAACATTCATGACATCTACTTTATTATCTTCATTTTGCCACTGTAGAGACTTATCTACCAACATTGGAGACCCTAGAACCAAAAATATGTAGACAGTGTTAAATTTGCAAGAGATTATGATTAAGCAACCATTTCGAATTAAAAACACAGAACTGTGAACTCCAAGACTAGAAAAAAAAAATCCTTTAATGCAGTGGTTCCCAAGCTCGAGTAATTCATATGTTTTTGGACTGCTCCTGCTTAGAAGTCTTCACCACTCGCTGTGCTGGGTGAGGTTTCTGGGAGTTGCCATCCAAGGATACTTGGGTTACCCAAGGTTGGGAACCACTCCTTTAGCGGATGCCTAAACCTCTACTAGAAGTTACAAACAAGGTGAGTGTGTTCAAGTGCTTTGGAACTCTTCCACAACTGAAGAAGAGTTTTGGAAAATGTGAGAACTTCCCTTGTTTGTAACGTTCAACACTCAGTAAAGGAACCACTGTTTCCAGTGGGTCCTTCCATTGATTCAAGGCCTCAAGATGTGCATTCTTAATAAACTAATGGCTTCTGCAGGCCTCATCTGGGAGAAGAAATTAAAAACAATGACCATATTGCCCAATGAATTACCTGTACTGAAATTGAGCAGCAGATGAAGACTAGGATTTACTACACTGGTGTCAACATCACACATGCTGGGCTCCACCTCTTCTACAGGCATGTAACTGTAGATGTTTCTTTCTTCCACACCATCTATGTAAATAGCAAAGTTTTGCTTGGATGACACGCAGCTTGGCAAACTATTCTTGCCAGTTGGAGGAAAGGCATTTTCAGATCCAGAAGGGTGTCTCGTTATGGAAGTTCCCTGAAAAAGAATATATTTTTTTCAGGAGAAACAAGACTATGGGCACATTTCAAGCAGGAAAAGCTGCTCACTGACCAGCTAAGAGCACCAGGCCATCATACTACCACTACTCATGATATGAACGGCTTCAGTACGATAATCATTCTTCTTAAATATAATTTTCAAACCTCTGCACGTATGTATTGAACTAAAACTCCTACCATTCTTCATCTCTGGTCTGTGAAGTGGGTTTCTGGAAAAAATAAAACTTGACTTAGTCTGTCACTCATTTTTACTTTCTAACACGCATTTTCCTTCAATAACCACACAAAATCACCTGCCCTTGTTTAGTCGTTAAGTTGTGTCCGACTCTTCGTGACCCCATGGACCAGAGCACGCCAGGCCCTCCTGTCTTCCACTGCCTCCCGGAGTCTGGTCAAAACACTGCCCTACTTTGCTGTTTTTAATCCATATCTTTTGCTAACTTTAATGGTTTTGTATGTATTTGCTGAATTTTAATGTTTTTTTACAGTGGAGCTGCTTTCTATGATTTCATGATTTTTTGAATGTTTATCAGCCTTCCTGAGGACCATCAGCCAGGATACAAATGTAATAAACAAAATGTCTTGCATTTGGTAAACAAATAAACTAAAAATGTAACCCACATCAATTTTATGTACACTATGAATATTTTAGAAAATTTCCCAATAGCTACAAAATATTTCAACCAAAATATCTGCTTAGGGGGAAATTCAGTTGTCCTTTGGTTGGTTAATGAGGAACCTTAGCAATATAGGACAAAAATACTATAGATAAATCTGATCCAGATCTATCCAGGAGTCAACTGAATTAATTCTACATGGGAAGGTGTTGTCGTTCCTTTAGTTACTCCATGGGTAACTGAGAATTAAGGTTTGTCAATGCTTCCCTTAAAAGGATAACTTACAGAAGTCTGGAAAAATCAGGAAAAGGCTGCATGGTCATTTAAACAATACATATGCAGGAGCACTTGATACCTTTATTCAGTCATTAAGAACATAAAACAAACAAACAAAGCAAGAAATAAATAGCGAGCTTTCAATGATAAATCATCTTCTTCAAGGCTGTGCTCCAGTTCTTATGGGCAGTTCCAAACAAATGTGCTGTTTTTAACTTCCAAATTCACATGGCTGATGGTGTAGAGGCCAAGTAGGTTTCTTAGATGGAAATAGCTGCAGCATGTCTGTTGGTTTCAAGCTCTTCCTCAGCTAGCAATTTGCAATTGATGGCCCAACTCTTAAAACCAAGGACAGTCACAAGCAATCTGGCACTCCTTAATTCTCCTTTTCTGAGACCCAAAGAGTTTCTCTTTACTTGGGAGAGGGAAGACTGGCCAGCTAGAAATTCAGCTAAACCACCAGAAACAGTCAATTTAAGCCAAAATAAAGCCAAATAAACAATTTCACCTGGTGCATGTTCTCTTTAGCATGCAGTACTGCTTGTTTGCTATCGAGAGTCCATGATGTCAGAGAATTCACATTGGTCTTCAGCTGACACCCTGATCAATCATTGTATGGTCTCTTACAATTGTTGTTGTTGTTTTATATTCTTAATGGTTGATTAAAGATATCATCTGCTCCTGCATTTGTATTATACAGTAGATGTCTGTATATCTTAGAAATGCAGAGTTGGAAAAAGGACCCTACGAACCATCGAGTCCAGCCCCTGTCAAGGAGGCACAGTGAGGAATCAAACTCCCAAACAGATATGTAGATCACTGGGCTATTCAGTATCCTATATTTAGGCCACCTAACATGACTGAGGGACGTGGTGGCGCTGTGGGCTAAACCACAGAAGCCTGTGCTGCAGGGTCAGAAGACCAAGCAGTCGTAAGATCGAATCCACGTGACTGAATGAGCGCCCGTCGCTTGTTCCAGCTCCCGCCAACCTAGCGGTTCGAAAGCATGCAAATGCAAGTAGATAAATAGGGACCACCTCAGTGGGAAGTTCCG